TCCCTGGTACTGACAGTAGTGTGATCCCCCTGTAGTTTTCATATTTGCTCAGATCTGCTTTCTTTGAAATCTTGATGAGGTGTCCTACTTTCCAGTCCATCGGCACTTGTTCCTCCTCCCAAATCTTTTTGAATAGAAGGTAAAGCATGTTCGTAGTTAATTCAATGTCTGACTTCAGTGCTTCAGCTGGTATACTGTCGGGTCCTGCTGGTTTCATGCTCTTGATTTGTTTGATGGCCATTCTGATTTCTTTTGTCGTTGGTGGATTGACATCTATAGGAAGATCTGTGTGCGCTGCTTCGATGTCCGGTGAATTCATTAGAGCCGGCCTATTCAGGAGTTCCTCAAAGTACTATACCCATCTGTCGTTGCTATCATTGGTGGGTGCATAACATTGGATAATATTCATTGTGATCCCCTCCTTCTTTGTTTTGAATGATGCTTTGATGATTCTGGATCCGTGAGATTCTCATCCTACAAGTGCATTTTGTGCTACTTTGGACAGCATTAGAGCAACTTCCTGAGTGTGTGCACTATTTTCCTTTTTATGACCGGAGTATAATAGCATCTCTCCCGTATTTAGCCTTTGTTGTCCAGCTTGTGTCCAATGGGTTTCGCTGATTCCGAGTACTGCGAAATTGTATCTCCTCATTTCCGTTGCTATTTCACTGGTCTTCCAGGTCTCCCACATTGTTCGGATGTTCCATTTACCTATAAAAATTGTTGCTCTGGTAGTTAGAATGGCCATCGGCCTCGTGGCTTCCGAAGGAACTCGGCTTTCACTATGAAGCGTCATAATTCTTCTAAATGAAGACCTTCTAACTTCCAGGGCAGAGTTTAAATGGGATGTGGACGCTAACCCCATACCCAAGCCTCCTCCTTTCCCGGGCTTGGGACCGGCAGTAACTCTGGAAGAGCTACAGGAGGAGTTTTACCAACAATCATAACCATATATTACATATAGTATATGAGTGTGACATCGTCAAGTAAATGATTCTGAATGCAAAATCGAAGTTACTTGTAAGTTTTTATAGGTTTTTAGTTTATATGTATGCTACATGTTCGGTCATTTTACAACTTAATATTTAGTCAGCACGCTTACAAAAAATCAATTTCCTGTTATGAAATTTCGTAATTTTCTTTCCTCCATTTCAGACGTCGTTATTGTTAGTTACTTCCACTCATTTAATACATTCTTAATTGCCTGCACCCAAAAAAGTTCTATATTACCCTATCATTCAGAAGTGACCCAAATAGTCATATATTGAGATGAGAACTTAAACTAGATATCATTTAGACGTTTTATGCAGTCCAACTCATCACTATCAAAAAATCAAGGTCTATGTTTCACGAAACACACAAACAGCATGTAAACGATTGTCACATCCCATTCAGTCAATCAGTTTACATGTGTGGGCCGAAATACATACATACGAGGAGCAGTCATGATTTGCAAATAAGGCTGGATAAACACAAGCCCAAATAGCTACGAAGTCAAATGAATTCCAGTAGTCAGATAAGATCACAGTATCGACAAATATCTTTCTCCTAGTGAAAAAACTTGATTGAGGCCGGTAATACGATAAATATGAAATAGGGTTATTCAATATTATCCATGGGTGTCTAACAAGGTTTATGGAAACCTTGGCTATGCTAGAACTGAAATTCTCCTTATTTGTTCTAAAGCAATTTGTTCTTACCCTTAACCTATTCAAGTAATACTGATTAATTATCCAGCATGGTTTCTGCATTACGTACCTTATCATTATCTTTGTTTCCCCCACCTTTAGATTTTTGTAGTTGACATTTGGATTATATATATATATATATATATATATATATATATATATATATATATATATATATATATATATATATATATATATATATATATATAGCCTCAACAAGTATGTGTGTGATCAGGTTTTTCGAAATGTATTTTACACTTATGTCACATAATTCTAATAAAGTTCATTTTTTCATTGCATTTGTTTTACGTTACAATTAGAACAGTTATTTATTGTACAGGGTAACGATTAAAAAATCCAAAATTAATGAGGTTATTTACTTACATAGAACTCTTTGAGTAGGAATTATTGCATTTCAAGTCCTGTTTAAATCTATTAAACTACTAGAAATGTTATTGATATACTAAATCACAACAGGTTGTTTAATTGTAGTATTGTCATTCGACAAACCTATACGTTTAGATGGTATATCTTAGAATCATTCATTATTTTCTTAGAATATTGATTAATATTATTGCTTTACTTGGTTAAATATTTATTATGCAATAGGCAACTATGTTATAATTTCCAGTAAAAATGCTTATATTTATATGATTTAATTAAACAAATATACTTTATTTAAGAAGATTAAGTGAACAGGTGTAGCTCTTTGTATTAAAATCAAGATAAATTGTTTTGTATTATAATAAACAATATTACTTGTTAACTATTTTAACATGACTTTCTCTATTGGTTCAACTAAATAAAACTTTTGTTAGAAATAGAAAACATAGAATATTATTTAGTGTTTAACTATCATGTATTATGTACATATTGGTATGCAATCATATATCTCTTTGTTGTTTTATTGAATTTTTATTGGTGAAAATTACATTTTACTTACAATTACCTTATATATGTCTAAGTTTATTCTTAAAAATGTGTATCTATTACAATGAAGATTAACTTGACAACATATTATCCATCTGTAATTAGAAAATTCAGTTTTCATTTCGAAAGTTCATTTTCATAATGAATTCATGAAGATAGTATTATAAATTCAAGAAGCATTGTCCTCATGCTTTTAAACTTTTGTAAGATATTGTTTTACAGATAATATAATATTTATAAAATTATGTAGACATTTAATGAAGCATAAGATGTTGATTAGGAATATGTAGTTGTTATGTTATATCTTATATCATCTACAAGACAAAATGTTTTAATTTTCATGTAAAATTAACCCATAACCTAATAGTATTATTGAAGCAATCCGGTTAGGATGGTAAGATACCAAGAAAGACTGATCATTTGAAGTCTATATTATCAAAAATAGTTAATTTTAAACTTTTATGAGAGATATTATTAGCTTATTTTGAATTTTACCTATTCATGTATTTCGTTTGTTTTCAAGAAAATATGTGAAGTTTTACTAAAATCACCTTTCAGAATAAATATTTCCTGTTTTCATTTCAATCGTTAACTAAGTTGATAATCAAAGTCTTTTGAATTTTAAAATTTCTTTTGCAAAAAAGTTGAAATTAATAATTATTTAAGAAAGGGTTTTGTGGATATTATAGTAATTGACATCATAAGTCAATTGAAGCTGGACCACCGTGGAAAACCTGGAAGCACTGGACGGCCGTTTCGTCCTAGTTGGATGCCGGCCCAGTAGTCTAGACGTTAAATGTTCGTGCGCGAGACCGACAGATCCTGGGTTCAAATCTCGTGAGGCGGGATCATGAATATGCACTGCTGAGGTGTCCCATACTAGAACGAAATGGCCGTCCAGTGCTCCCATGTTTTCTATGGTGGTCTAGCTTCAATCAACTCATGATCTTAACTATTAAAATAATTATTATTTATAATTTATTATTTTCTTTTATATAATTCATTTATTCAACCGAAAATTTTTATATCGTATAGACTTGAATACGAAAACCGTTTAATATCTTATTTTTTTTACTTTTTCAAAATTTACTTATTCGAAAAGTAACTGGAGAATTGTAGCGTATGCTAAATATGAAAAGAATAAAATAGGTCAATGGTTAACATCAAAAACTTCTCTTAAGTATAGTATTGATAATATCACATTCTGAAATTTACGGTTAACACATGAACGTATACAGTTATAGAGCAATGTTTCAGTCAATAAGCTTTGATTTTGTTTTTCAAATATTTATAATCTCTCAACATTTTATGTACAAACTTTGTTGCAAAATCATTTAAACGAGCTATATTCTAACATTGCGTAACTATTCATTATTGTACTGTAGAAGTTTTATAAAACATTTATTCCGTATTGAAAAATATTTTAAATTACGGTTGGCAAAACATTATGAGATATTAGTCCATTTATTTGAACATATAAACATAGGTACAAGGAGGCACTAAATACATATGCGCCACACAATAACAGTGAAGCCAGTAGTAGTTATCATTGATCTGTGTGAGGGTTGTGATACTACCCGGGTGCCCAGACCGAAGCAGGTGATTTCCTTATGGGGCCTCAACTGGGGCCTCTGACCTAAAGGTCCAATCCATAAGGCAGTGAAGCGACGTCAGGAGATAAAGTCCCATGGTAGTGGTTGACCAACGATTGATTCATACGCCATTCGTGCCTTCAGGGTCCTGGAGCTCATGTGCACCATTGGTTTGGAATCAGGGTTTTCCAACTCCCCTAGGTGGATCCACAGTATCCACTCACCCAGTTCAAGCTCCGAATATTCGTTTTTCGTCCCCTCAAAACCTTAAACAACACCCCGCCACGAGAAGGGAGTGAGTAGGACTTACCTGACAGTGAGTGTATACGCGTAGCCATGTGATAGCAGACTATCCTAATCGTCAGCTGTATCAGGGCATTTGAGAACAAAAGTGTGGTTCGTCCCGAATCCAATACTTTATCACTTATTATCATGAATCTGTTTTACTTGAAAAAATTATTTCATCCGTTAAATCGTGAAGCATTGGCCTACTGACAGTTAGCTGTCAGTGATTTAATTAACAATCACATATATAGTTTTTATAAGTCTCATTACAACTAAAGATTCATTGTTTCTAGTAAAACGGGTTGATAACTAAGATGATCTTAGATTATGATGATAGTTTGTAAAGTGTTTCGAGATTACATTTTATACAAAAATTTAAAACGAGTAATTCAGAATAATCGGATCAATGGAAATCCATGATTGTACTTTACTTAAAGTGCCATGTTTTTCCATAAAAGATAATCACGTTTTCTATTTCTTATGAAAATCTACTTCTTTATTTTAGGTATTTGGAAAATCGTTACAGCTGAGTAAAATTGACGTGAATTATTCCACTACCTTGGTGTTATTAAATAGAAAATATCCATCGTTCACTAACTGGATTGGTTGTGAATTCACATAATGAGCAGAACTAAATGAAATAATTCGTTTTACAAAAGTTTTGCATTCCCAATAAGAAGAAATGGTGATACAATCATATACTGGTGTATAAATCCCCGTGATATTTGCTCCAAATCACTGTGGTCGTATAAAATCTTTCAGATATCTGTAATATATTAAACCGAGAAATTCACTTTTATGCACTCACCAGTACGAAAACTGGCAGTAATTATAAAGAAATATTCTACCGAACTTATTTACCTTTTCATTCTCCAACTACCTCAATAGCGTTTGCAACGACTCATATAGTCATATACATAGTTGCTTTCGTCTACATCAGTCTTTCTAGTCATGTTTTTAGAAAATAATATTTCACAATAATTCTCTCAGATGGGAATGGTAAACAAATCATTGTCTGTAATACAACACATTCATTCCAATGCTTATTATATCTGATTAGAACATGAATTTCTTTAACACATACACAGTTATTTGTGTTGTGACGGACGGTGTACGAAATTTGATAATGATACTACTCGCTAACTCCTAACTGATTACTTAAGTAAGAACACGAGAGTAAGTGAGAAAGTGTACTGGACTATCGAATAAAAATGCATAAATACTCATTTATATAAATACTACTCTATCTTTAGGAAATTGACATACTAACCCCAATGAAATGCACTTGACCTTAGGTCACTTCTGACTGCCATCGATTGACTGTTTATTACTTTAGATTGGCTTTCCATATCAATTTATGTACAGAAATAATTTAATTTTGAATTTTAATTGTAAAATATTTTATTATTTAAATGATTAGGTGTTCTGCTGAAGTTTTTCTCTTTTCTTTGATCAGTGTTTTTTTTCTCTCTCTCTCCCTCTGTTTCTTATCCATGAAAACTATATATATATACTTTTTTTTAAAAAAAAGTAGTATCTCTGTCAGTCGTACCATTCTTTACATTTTAGTTTACTGTTAAACATTTATTCCTTTATTTCTTTCTTTTATTTTTGCCATTTTAATTTTGTTACAAAATAATGCGAAGTAAAATAGATACACGAAATTATCGCATAATTAATAAACATAATTCAAGATATTTAGATCAATTATCACTTATAATTATGATACTAATTAGAACTTGATCAATGAATATGAATGATAAATACAAATGAGAAAAAAGTTAAATTATTATTGTATTATATTATAATTAAAATATGATCTATTATGAAACATAGAAGACAAAATGAATTTTATTCGTCTGAAGTATATCGAATTTTAAAAATTCTTTCATGTTAATTATACTGACCTACAAACAAATATTCATGTATATAGATATTTCTATTTGAGATCTTCATAAATTCTTACATTCTTCTATATTCATCTTTATATTGATAAGTTTATACACCCGTTACTATCTTATAAATTATTATCTTTATATTTAATATATTAGTCAAATAATAATAAAGATGTATCATTCATTATTTTCACCTTATAATAACTGATATTTTACGGTTATATGTTGTTCATTAAAATATGAATCAAGTATAAATTCATATAATTATAAGATAAAAGTAAGTAATATCTGTTACATATTGTATAACAAATCAGATAAACCTATAAAATGTACCATCACCATCTTCACTACTACTCCCTATTAGATATTTTTTACAATAATCTATATAAATGAATAAAGTTTAACAATTCAGTCTTTCCTTTTTGTTTAAATTCATATAAAAATTTTGTTTTTATCATAAATGATAAAGAGAAATCTATTCATTGAATATCAGTTAATCATAATTAATATAGATCTTAGTTTAACTCATATTACCTTTCTATATTATTATACATATCAATTGTGTGATATTTCAATGTAAATATTTTTTATTTTCAGTACATTCTTTGGCAAAAAAGTTAATTTATACTAGAATTTTATACATAAGTATAATTAAGATTTAAGTTATGTAGCATTTGAACAATTGAAATATGTAGTTTCAAACGATCAAACGTCAAGGTTCATTTGTGAAGAATAAAGTGTAAATTTAAGGATAATTTTTTTTTCAATGCAAGATTTATAAATCATAAAGAATGGTTATGAAAAAGAAATGTGATAACATCAAGTAAGATATGATGGATAGTGGCTAGCAGTAGAATTCAGGACTCGTGTTTCGTTCTATTTGGGACTCGTCAGCTAGATGTACCTGCATCTCAGAATTGATGTTCACTCTGGGACTCGAAACCAAATAGGACGAAACACGCGTCCTGGATTCCACTGCTAGCCACCATCCATCATTGCTTACAAAAAGCTTGTGAATTAAGGACAATATCGAGGCATACGCACAGTATGCATATATGCCGATAACAGACTGACCAATTGCAGTCTTCAATCTCAATGGGAAGATACAAACCAAACAATACCAAGTGAATCAAGTAAGATAATTCAAAATGAATGTACCGAAATTGAATATATAATGAAAGTAAGAAATACGTCTATTTTTTTGTTTGAAAAATGACAAGAAACAGCTTGACATATCAAATGATATGTTTGGTGATTCGTTACTTTGTCTATGGTTCACTTAAAAATTTCTTTTTGCTGTCAAGTATTTTTTTAGTCAAAACATTAAGTAACCTTCATTTTCTCGTTAATCTACGTTATAGGTATATATATGTATTGGAAAACAGCCCAAGTTTTTAACAATATAAACTACGTTGATCTATTCATTAAAGCTATGAATAAAATCTGGAATGAATTTTGATTGAATATAATTTATTTTTATTTTCATAATCTTAGAATACTGAACTTGTTTATTTTCCCGAATTTCCTGGTTAACAAATGCTGTGATATGTATTTTAGCATGGATGAAGTTGCATACATTGACATTGATGGTTTAGAATTTAACTTTGGCGCATAATATATATATATATATATATATATATATATATATATATGCCTTTGGGTTACTTCACAAACTCGAGCAAAGCAGGAAGGGGGATATTTGCAGAATACGATGAATCCATTGTATTTCCTTTTTTCTCTTCATCTATACATAAGCTAATATGATTATCGTTTCTAAATATTAACGATAGTAATGACATCATTCATGTTTCATTAGCGATGTGCAGTCCTTTAGGATCTGTCCTTGATGATATATTTGTTGAAAACTTGGATTGAACAGGATTATTACCTATCGTCAAGGTGACTGTACTGGAATTTGTCAAGTGCACGTACATCGACAACGATTTCCGAGTAGATAGTGTTTAAACATTCACAGATTTTCCACTTGAAGCTATCAAAATGGGTTGATAAAAACTCTTTTACACACAGAAGGAAAGCCATATTCACCAGGAAAGCTCAAGTAGATGTATACTCTTCCTAATGATTGTCTGCCATGGAATCAACGCCCAAATCATTCGTAAAGAAATGTAATATCGAACGCCGAAATAAGATGTATGATTGTGAACCCAAAATAAGAAAGCTATTACTCTTGTATTATTCAAAGATAGATAAATAGTGAACGAACTTCGTTGAAAATTGAAAACAGCTCTTAAAAACATACTCTTCACTGACACTTTGAATCCATTAGACACAATATTGTTCAATGATAAAGACAAAAGTAGATGAAACTACTCCAATTGCAAATATCAATTAACATATATACAAAAAAGCATGAACATTAGAAGGACAATAAGGTGGACTTCTATTTATTTCAGTGATAATGTTCCAAATAAACTACGCCTTCGAAGAGGATTTTGTTTATGCCGTTCGGTAGCACCTCATCTCCTAAAAATTAGCACAATATGCATTCAGCGAATTCTTTAAAATTTATCTATTGACAACTCGAATCCTCGTTACTTAATTTTCCAGAAGCCGTGACTACTAAATAACTTAAAACCTACATTCAAATTCAAAGAGTCAGAAGTTAACAGTAAGCTGCCTTGGTAACATTTTGAAATTTCTTTTCTCTATTTTGTTGTAGTCATAATCCAATGAGTCGGGATTACAATTTCTCTTTCCTTTCCCAACTTCCAAACATTTCGTTATATTAGATGATAAAATTATCACAATATTCTAGAACTACCATCTAATCAATTCTAAAAAGAATACAGGTTTAGAAGTACATTACGCACAACTTATTTGTTGTTAATTAAAAATTCACTTTTAAGATTATGTTAATAATTAGAAATAATTAACCATATTAGATTGTATGGAGCTGAAGAGAAAGGACCGATGCACTATATATATATATATATATATATATATATATAAGAATGGTGTTGAACTTATGTGTTCTTATTTATCACTAATTCTGCGTATCCGTCGGTTCATGTGTAATGCATTAGACTTTTAAATTCCTAGTGTAACTTCGAAATGTGGTTCAACATCTTCAGAGCAGATAGAAATAAGTTAGCATTAGTTATCACAAGGTATTTTAGGTATGACTCGAATACGTGAAAGTATGGTTATCGATCGATGTATATTACCATTACCGCCGTTTATCAACTCTGAAAAGTATCAATATCTAACCAGAATAAATTTATCAAATTCCGTTTTTAACTTTGGTACTGTAATTAAATGCGGATGTTCATTCATGTTTAATAAAAGATTTTAGCTCAATCAATCAATAGATACTGTTTTCGCCTAATGACAATTTGTATAGGCAAACGGTGAGAAAGTGACCACATTTTTAAATTATCACCAGTGGTAGTTCTACAGTGTTAACTAAAGCAGTTTGTTAGTTAAAGGAATATTCATTTCTCAGATCTTTACTGTTTCCTTGCTACTAAATAATATTTTGCACAATAAACGTAATAATTATGCAAGACTATTAAATTAAATTGTTTTTTCGAACTACTGTTTCACTATTTTACAAGGATACAATAAATCAAGAAGCAAGCCATTGCAATTTACCAAATTACACTTAAATTCATTAT